AGAAAGCAAGTGAGGAGGAGGGGACCCACTGGGTCAAACACTGCTGCTGAGTCAACTAAGGAGAACACTGAGACTCATCAGCACCTCTGACAGCAAACGTAACTGATGTCTTGGAAAAGACCACTTCTGGTGAAGAGGCAGAGGTGGAGGCGGATCAGAGTAGATTCCGGAGTGATGGAAAGGGGAGGAGTTGGAGAGAGTGAATGTGAACAACTCTTTCAAGGCATTTTGTGAGGTGAGCGGGGACCTGTGGGGGGAATAGAAGCAGAAACGAGTGGGAGAGATTCTGTTGTAAGTTGTGAAGATAACTGCACGTCTGTATGCTAATGGAAGTGACTTGGTGGAGAGGGGACAGGAGTGATTTAAGAGAGAGAGAGGAGAGTTGCGGGGACTCGCCCATGACTATAGAGAGGCATTGGGAGGCAAATGAGAGGTGACCGGAGCACAGAGAGCTGGCCCGGTGACCAGGAGAGGTACCAAACAGAGGGGGCCAGGCCGATGGCAGGAGCTTCGGAAGATGTGATGGTCAGTGTGCCCCGCAGGGTGGAAACTTGGTCATCAGCTGAAAGTGTGGACGGAGGGGGAGGCAGTGTTTAAGGCGAGAGGGGAAGGTGTGAAAAGGCTGTCCGGGAGTGCGAGTCAGTGAACGGACAATGGAGATCTACTATGTCTTTTTGGCAGAATTAAGGGTTCACTTGTGTTCTGTTTTCATGAATGTAAGATGAGCCACAGCCACTTTCCACTGCAAGGATAAACGGCGGTGTAGGGAAGAGTGAGCCAGTGAGCACCTTGACGAGAACCAGGAATGAGAGCCCTGAGGGCATAAGGCGAGGGACTGAAGATAAAGTCAGACACCGGCGTTTGCACTTGGTAGAAAGAACAGGAAACGTGAGAGGGTGAGAGATGTAGTCGGTCAGTTCAGTGGACTGTAGGACCTGGTGCAGGTTTGTTAAAATAGGGGTCTTAGAGAGAATGAGCAGGGAAGACAGAAACTGGTGGAAAGAGAGGATAATTGAAACCGAGTTTAAGGAAGGGTTGCAATTAGTGGTAAAGACAAGAGCGAGGCCAGTGCTGCTCAAACTGCAGTGTGCATGTAAGTCCCCTGGGGTTATTATAATTCACCTTTTTGTTCTTTATTGGTTTTAGAAAGAGAGGGAGGGTGAGGGAGAGAGAGATAGAAACATCGATGAGAGAGAACATCCACTGGCCACCTCCTCCATGACCCCTACTGGGGATTTGGCCCACAACCTGGGCATGTGCCCTGACCAGGAATCAATCACATTTTGATTCAGTAAGTCTAAGGGGCAGAGCCTGAGAGTGTGCATTTCTATCAGTGCTGTCGGTTCAGGGGCCTCATTTCAAAGGCAATGGTCTCATGTGCTATCCTCAGCCCTAGCAGTAAACTGAGCCCCATGGGAGTTTATAAAACACCGGTGCTCAACCAGTCTTGACCAGTGAATCAGAGTTTCTCTCCCTTGGATTTAGAACAGGTATATTATAAATGTTCTCCAAGTTATCCTGCAGGGATTGAAAACCCCTGTCCTAGAATATGTGACCATGAGTGCAAGTGACTTGGAATGAAAATCATTGCAGGAGGGAAGCTTATGGAACCGAGGGGCCAATGTGTAGAAAAATGTCATCTTTTGGTTATTAAAATCATTAGAAAGTATGACAGAAATGGTGCTGGATAAAAATCACTGTGGCCCTGGCCGGTTTGGCTCAGCGGTTAGAGCGTCGGCCTGCGGTCCTGGGAGACCCGGGTTCGGTTCCCGCTAGGGGCGCGTATCTCGGTTGCAGTTTGTCCCCGGCCCTGGTCGGTTGTGCGGGTGGCAGCCACTCGATGTGTTCCTTTCGCATCGATGTTTCTCTCTCTCTCTCTCTGTTCCTCTCTCTCCCTCCCACTCTACCTGAACAAAAAATGGAAAAATGTCCTCGGGTGAGGATTAAAAAAAAAAAAAAAATTACTGTGAACCCAGAGATCTACAGATGATTACCAAAAAATATATAGGACGTGGCTGACATACCTGATGGCGTGGAATTTAAAGCTAAGATGTTTGGACAGAATGGTCTGGAACAGACGAAGCAGAGCCAGGAGGGCACTCACTGCAACCCCAGGCTCAGTGGTATGCTGGAGTTGGAGGACATTCTCCATCTGAGTGGAGTCCAGAGACACAGTAGCCTCATGAAGAGCTAGGTTTTCACTTAGAGAAAAGTGAAGAAAACAATCTAAAAATAAATGGGAATTTTGGAGGATTTTACTGCTGTGTTCCAAGACCGGATGAAAAGATTCTGAGCATTTTGGGGGGTAGGCGATGGAGAGGCGTAGGCAGGATGAGGATTCCAGGACAGGAGGGAGCGACGGCCTGTAGTCTGGGCCTGGGTTTCTCCTGGAGATGATGTTCTCGAAGCAGGGCGTTGACTGGGAGTGTGGAGACCTGGGAACTAAGAGGAAAGGTCTTACAAGAAGCCAGAGAAGTCCTGGGCTCCCCTCTTCATTTCTACGGATATTTTCTAGCAGTATAACTTTTGCTTCTTCAAACAAAGGCATACAAATGTGGAAAACAGATCGAAGATGAGTATCTCTGGTTAAAGCAGAGCCCCTCCAGGGCCCAGGGTTTCCCCATAATTCTGAGGATCCTCAGGGGTCCTCAGAGCTCAAGCCACAATCACCACGCCAAGGTTGATGGGAAACATCTAAGGAAGATGCAGCCACGTTTAAGGAAGTAAAGCCCATACACCCAATAACCACATAAGTCTTTTAAAATCTTTTGTCAACTATTTCCATTGGTCTCTTTTCTGCATGTTATAGTCTCTTCAAATAAAAAGTGCTTTGCAACATCCCTGGGGACTCTCGATGTCGTTCATGATCAGGATAACGATGCTGTTGCTGATATTACATGCAGAGAAGAAACCATAATTTTGAACAGTCACGAACTCAGGGCAGGTTCTCCAGAAACAAACCACAGGAGGCAAAGGCTGGGATGCCAGTGGTTCCTATGGATGCACCCCCAGGAGAACCTCGGGGCGGGGGCAGCAAGCAGGGGGGAAAGGAGGAGCCCAGAAAGAGTTTGGATTCGGGTGAAGTCTCAAGGAGGTTGTTTCAGCCTAATCCCTGGAGGGGGGCTCTGAAGAGTAACAACTCAGATTCCAACTAGGACTGGCCGATTTTCAAAAGTTCGTTTCCACACCCTGTGAGTCGATGTGAAGGGGAAATTGTGGGGGAAGCTGGGAACCCCATGCACCTCCAGGCAAAGAGTCCAGGAGCCCAGTGGCATCCCAAAAACAGTAGCAGGTATAGGTCCTTGAAAGAAAGGTACACACAGTACAGACAGACACACGCAAGTGGAAGGGATCCAAGACCAGCAGAGGGGAACCTAACTGCCTTCTATAAGTGAAAAGCTTTCTTCAGAATGGCATAGATTACCTAGGTAAAGAGAAAATTTTAAAAATATTAAGGGCAGCCTTCAATTACTGTCAAGTGGATTTCTGACAGTAGGAATTTGCTGACATCTCCCTTGCCTGGCTAGCAGGATGACATTATCACACACACATGGTCATATCTTAAGAAAATCCAGGTCAAGTGAGAATGAGTATCTGATCAAATCTGCATCTCCAAGCATGGCCCTGAATGAGCGTGCCGTCTGTATTTGAGAACAAAATGCATGTTTTAAAACTCCACTGCGTTGGATGGTTCCATTCCCTTCCTCACTTCCATTCGTGTAAATACAAGAATGTCTCCCTGTTTCAAATTCACATTATTACAAATAGTTGCTCTTACCTACTTTCTCGTTTCTTTTTATTTTTCAGGATTGTCGTTGGCTTTTGTTTTCCTCTTTAAATTGTGACCTCTCTTCTGCCGAATAGAGGAGCATTGTTTTGGGGTCCCTGGGTTAGGCTTAATTGGGGGTTGTGCTACATCAAGCGCACTGACAGATTTAGGGATTAATTTCCACACCTCCTGAGGTGCGAGAGAAGCTCCTTAAGAATTTGAAAATGGCAACACGGTTGACTCCCTACCGGTAAAGGTTACCTGTATTCACATTCACACTAATGCAGAAGGAAAGTTTAAATGTGGTAAATATCAATGTTGTTTTGCTTTATGGAAAAACCTGTACTTAAAAGGGAGAAGAAAGACACAATTTACAGGACAAGAAATAGTTTATCCTTTATAGGGCTGCTTATGCAGATACATCTCGCTCCTTTCATTCTGTAGGGATAGCATCGCTGTTGCTAAGTTGATAATATTGCAAGAAAAAGAGTAGTTTAATCATTTGGGCCATTCATGTCCGTGGTCAGGTTCCCCAGGAGCAAACCATGAGACAAAGATTTGGTGCTAGCGATATACAAAAGGAGAGAGTTGAGTATGGTTTACATGCGCTTTGGATTATATTGAGAGTTGGTAGAAAACCTTTTTTTTCCCTCAACTATTTTGGCTTAGATGCATCTCCAAATATGTGTTTACAGCATTTTAAAGTAAGTGCATTTTCAGGGAAATTTAGTCCATATGTTTCCGCAAGGCTACACGTAAATCATCCAAATGGTGTTTTATTAGAGCTACGTGGGGAAGATGCCTCTCGAGCTTTTTAAATAGTTCCCATACTCTTCCTGAAAAGCTGCGGGTAGCTTGCCAAAAGTAAACAAATCAAACAGCAAAAGGGTTGAGTTCAGTTTGAAATGCTTAGCCTATTATTTTTGATTGGGTTCTGAACTTGGCTGCGGCCCATTCCCTGTTCCTTGCCTGCAGGGCAAAATGAAAACAATTTGAACACTGTATTTCCCAGTGGGTTCATTGACATTTGAGAATCTGTAGTAGTGTGGACAGAATCAGCTTGCTTGGCAGGTGAATGATACTTCCCGTGACCTCAGAAAGTTACTTCCTCCCTGCTTGTAGAAGTTCATAGCGTGGAACAATGTTACACATACTGCAAAACCCAAGTAGGACAGGCAGCCATCAGCGGGTGCAGACTGGGGAATTATCTATTTCTCTTGTGCACCTGTAGGTGGAATGGTTGAAAAATGAAGACATAATCGATCCTGTTGAAGATCGGAATTTTTATATTACTATTGATCACAACCTCATCATCAAGCAGGCCCGCCTCTCAGATACCGCAAACTATACATGTGTCGCCAAGAATATCGTTGCCAAGAGGAAAAGCACAACGGCAACTGTCATCGTCTACGGTGAGTGGGCTTTGGGGTCTCAATCAAGTACATGTCAAAGTACGGATCTCATTTGAATTTTTTTTTTTTTTTCTTTTTGTATGTGCCCCTAGTGGAAACCGAACCTGGGACTCTCTGGTCCACAGGCCGACACTCCAACCACTGAGCCAAACCGGCCAGGGCTTATTTGAATTTTAAAACATCAAATTTGAGGTCCCTTCGCAATCCCCACCGCTACCCTCTTCCAGCTTCTCACATGGACAGTGAGGGTTAACTGCTTCCCTGATACTCATAGAAAGACTAGTCTTAAAAATTCCTAACTCTTTGTCAGCCAGTTTATAGGAGAGTGAAAGAAATCGACCTAAGTGTCAGCTGCTTCCCTCAGCCCTCCCCTCTCCCTACCCTGGACGGCCGAGATACAGGGTGGATTCGGAGAGAAGATGCTTAAAGCTTTCTGCTCTTCTTGTGAACCTTGGCTCCATCCAATGACTGCAAAACCCCAGGTAAACTGGAGCCGACACGTTCCCTAAACACATCAGAGCAACTTGAACTTCCTAGAACTTGCTGTACACAATGCATCAGGGCATTCTGAGTGAGGACACGCACTGCCGTCACCAAGTGCCCTGAGCCTGACCATGTGGCGAGGTTCAACAGAGTGGCCGCTTCAAGAATCTTCCCTCCCACTCTCTGGTCCTTCCTAATCTCTCTCATTTCTAAGCTGATCACTTCTTCAGCACCAGTAAAAAGTGTCCCACCCGAACTTGCCCCAAGCTCGAGGTGGCATACGATGCTTTCTCTCCCTGTGTGGTTTAGAACTCAGTGGTTTGCTAGACATTTCATGAGGGGTTCCATCTCCCCAGCTAGTCGTTAAGCTCATTGATGGACTAAGAGTCAGTTCTGTATATCTATGTATTTCTCACAGTTTAGACATACAATAGGTCTTTTTTTCCTTTTTTTTTTATTGATTATAGAGAGAGAGGAAGGGAGAGGGAGAGAGAGGTAGAAACATCGATGAGAGAGAGCACCAGTTGGCTGCCTCCATCATGCCCCCCACTGGAGATCAGGCCCACAACCTGGGCATGTGCTCTGATCGGGAATCGAACCAGCAACCTCTTGGTGCATGGGTCGACACTCAATCACTGAGTCACACTGGCCGGGTGGTCTTCATATTCTTTTTTCTTTTATCTTCACCCGAGGACATTTTTGCATTTATCTTCAGATAGAGCAGGAGGGAGACAGGGAGGAAGAGAGCGAGAGAAACATCAATGTGAAACACATCGACTGGTCACCACCCACACAACCCCAACCAGGGCGGGGACAAACTGCAACCAAGGTGCATGCCCTTAGTGGGAACCGAACCCGGGACTCTCTGGACCATGGGCCAACGCTCTAACAACTGTGCCAGACCGGCCAGGGCTGGACTTCATATTCTTGAAGAGTTATTGTCTCAGAGGTAACTGAAGAGCCCTGGGAAGGATTTTGAGGTTATGCCACCTCCTGAATGAGATGGCTACCACCAAGGGCCTAAGGAAGCTTTTCATGGCTGCGTCAGTGTTAAATGACACTCCAGGGGCCTTAGTATCTGGATGACTCTGAAGGCGTGAAAGCCACTGGCAAGTGTGTGGCTCAGGGCACTTACAGCAGATGATGCCCCTTGGATGGATGTGCTCTCATGCTGTAGAGATGTCTGAGAACAGAAACCACTGTGATGTTCCAAAGGCCGAATGTAGTGATGCTTTAAATTATCATGTCCGTCACAAGACAGATGCACACTATTTTCTTTAATTCTCTCAATTCTCGGAGGTTTTAAGTTTCTAGTCATGATCATCCCTGTGTTGAATTGTAAGCAATTGCTTTCTCCAGTCACAACAAAATGTTTCTTACTTTTTGCTTTTTCTAAGCTAAACAACTTAATTCACAGCATTGAGAATGGGGAGCACCACCGCACATCCCAATAATAAATCACTAATGAGGCAGACTCATGAAGATGTGTCATATAGATGTTTAAATACACATGCAAATCTTTTTTCCTGTGTTTAGCATACTTTCAGTATTCAATCACTATAATCAATAATCACAATTAACCAATAATTACAAGCCAAAGTTGTCTTTAGGAAGAATCAGACGTAAGTCACAAACATTTTGAGTTCAGAGCAGCATTGGACAAGGGGTTCGTGGTCTTGTGTTCTAGGACTAGTTCTACCACTAACTGACCTTCCGCTGGTCACTTAACCAGGATGCTCACAGCCCTTGTCACCTTCTCCATAAAATGAGGGAATAAGCCTAGGATCTTCAAAGACTTTTCTTTTTCTAAAATTTTATGATTATTCATTTCTCATTAAAATCCTAGCAGGGTGGTACATGCATACATAACCCTAACTCTCAGCTTGCCAGTATGCTAGTAAGAAATCTATATGGCTAATTCCCCAACATTTGGAGCTTTGTCAAGTTGGGCAGGTTAAGGTGCTTTTTGAAACACTAATTAAGAGTCTACCTATCAACCATCTGCTTGTCCTTTCTCTGGACTCAGAAAATACACTGTCTGAGGCTCACAGGTTGAGCTCACCGGAAGTCCACAGAAAAACATTTACATCTAACCAGTATTTTATTTTTGAATCAGTTGTATATATTTATTTCTGTTAGTGTCATTTTTAGATTGCAAAGGTATGTCTATAACAGAAAATTTGGGAAGCACAGAAATGGCCAAAGAAGAAAATACCTGTAATCTTGTCACCCAGAGAGAGCTTTAAATATATATACTACTGATATTTTCTGTGCATAAATAACATTTTAAAATGAGGGATATAAATACCTCTTTACTTAAAACATAATGTGAAATATTCATCTATTACTAAATAGACGCCTACAGCATTTTGAATGGCTACCTAGGAGTCAATACATGAACATACATGGTTTCTTCACCATTTTCCTCTTGTTGAACATTACAGTTGTTTTCAATTATTTATCTCTCTATAAAAAAATAATTCTGTTGTGAAAAATACTTCTGTCTGAGCCTGTATGTAAAACACATTCATGATTATTTCCTCTTGCATGGGTTTCCCAAACAGGAGATGTTAGGAATATGATGTGTACATATATGGGTTGTGTTACTTGAATGGCTAACACTTCTTTTTTCTATCAGGAGGCATATGCATACATTAGTTGTTTCCTCCCATGTCCTAACTACGAGCAAATGATTTTTGTTAGAAAGTGTTTAATTACAAAAAAATTCATAAACTCACATTTTTGAAATGTGTGTGTGTGTGTGTGTGTGTGTGTGTGTATATATATATATATATATATATATATATATATATATAGCAGAGTTTTTTCTCCAGTAAGATCTCAGATGTAAATAATGGACATAGTGTAAGAGTTAGAGTGCAGAATCTCATCTACAGTAACATCTCCATCAAATACCATAATTAGCCTTTACACACAAAATAGGTGTTCAATTCAATTACATCAACTAATTGCCAATTCAATTAAATAGCTACTCAATTAGTAAAAAACAAAAACAAAATCCCAGCAATACAGCAATATAAGACTTTTTTTTAACCAGGTTCAATGGTTAGTTAATAAAACTGACCAAAAATCCTTAAAAGGTTGTAAAGTTCACACACATTAAAGAAAAATAATCAATCATCATCTGTAATTAAGAAAAGACAGAATGATTATATTCAGTTCCCATGTTTCAGGTCTAATTGCACCTTGGCATAAGGATGTAAACATTTATTATTTGAGATAAGCTACCAAAAGTAATTTCTGGAGCTTGTCTAGGTAAGAGGATATATTTTGTTTTAAAAGGAACACTGGTAAAGGAAAAGAGAACATAATCCTATTTACCTTTCTGAGTAGGTGAGTAAATGTTGGTGATTCGTTTTATTTATCTCTGTGCTTAGATTCTTCGTCTCTGTGATAAAACTTTGAATGATATGATATCCATGGTCTCTTCTCGCTTTGAATTTTAGATTCGTTATAGTCACTTGGGAGATAACTTTTTGTTTATGTGTTGTGCGTGGTTTGTGGTCCTATACATGCATACACAAGCATTTGATCCACATTTTATTATTTACTTCCTTCCAGTAAACGGTGGCTGGTCCACCTGGACAGAGTGGTCTGTGTGTAATAGCCGCTGCGGACGGGGGTACCAGAAACGCACGAGGACCTGCACCAACCCAGCGCCACTCAACGGTGGTGCCTTCTGCGAAGGGCAGAGTGTGCAGAAAATAACCTGTACCACATTATGCCCAGGTAAACAAAGCAGTGCTTTCATTCCAAATGTTTCCTCCCATTCCAGAAATACGTTTTGAGGAATATACACAAAGCCTTATCCTTGAAGTGAATGTGTGATTAACATTATTGAAATCCGTCATACCACTCAATGCTTACATGGCTGGGAAGTCAAATATTTTCCCCCAAAGGAGTACTTAACTTTATTACTTAGACATGAAAAATAATATAAGACAGGAGATTAAACACTTATAAACATAATCCCTCTCTATTACTGAACAAAACCACTGGGGCCAAGATTGCAGGTTCTGTAATTCAAGAGATTTGCGCACCATTGAAAGCCACACACTTTAGGGGGGAAAAAAAACAAAAACAAAACAAAACAAACAACAACAAAAAACCTTGGATCTCCAGAAAGCCATGGGAATTAATTGGAACTGAAATTTAGAAAACGTTTTAGACAGAAGTAATTGATATTTCATGTCAGTTTCTGGGCAAGAGCAAATAAAACATTTTGAATGAATTAAAAGGAAGTCTGAGCTTGGGGACACATGAGCTAATGGATTTTGAGAGTAGAATGCAGTCAGCACTGTGTTATCTGTACGTGTTGGTCACCTATTTTGTGAGTTATGTACAGTGATTCCTTTGCCAAGATTGCATCCCTCTGACTCTGATCATCTTTCTGTATTATTTTATATTGTCACCGGCTATTATCCCAAGGTAAATTGAAGTTGATATCCACCAAAACCAAAACTCACTAAACTCTAATCAATAAATTGAAAAGTTTAGCTAAAATTATATTGAGATAATCCATAAATTTGGTGCACTCCACTGAGGTAGCTATTGTATTGTCAATTTCATTATTTAAAAACACAGTCTTTTCATTTCCCTTTATTTTGCCTAATTTTTGTCTGGTTTATCCTTTAATATAGACTCTCTCAGTGAAGGGTTGAAGAAATGGACTGAAAAGTAAAACATGGTCTATATTTTATATTCCTGTTTTGATTTCCAAATATCAAAATACTATCCTACATTGAACACTTTGAGAGCTTTTATTTATGGGACAAATTTTGACACTTAGCTAAGTTTACAATTCAGTATTTTATCTTGTGCTCTTCTATAATGTACCTAGATGTCGACTACGCCCACTATTAAAATCGCACTGAGCATTTTGAGTTGGAACATAAGAGCGAGTGTGTGTGTGAGGGTGAAATTGGGGATGGTCCAGGTCAAAGCAAATGCCTTTTCTGCAGATAGCTAGGAGCTGCTTATACAGGCAGCTCTGTGTGACTAAAGAATTAATGCTTTCATCAGTTTTTCATGTGGGCATGTTTATATGTATACATACTATGCATAATATATTTACGCAATAATTAGAATATGAAATCATGCAGTAAACTATTAAAATTGATATAATTTCTATTAATATGCAGGTTCATGATGTTATGTATATTAGACATTTAATAAATTATATTTAACATTGTTTACATTGAATTCTACATAATCATAATTGTTTATGTATATAAGGAAAAATTATTTTAACTCATCAATATTTTTACTCAATTTATGTAAGAACTCTTACAGAATGTTTTTTAAAATATGACCTTAGTGAAATTTATTATATATTTTTTTAACTAAGGAATTGCAATAGTTTTTAAAATAGAGATATCTCAGCTCATTTTAAATTACTGCCAAGTCAGCCACCAAAAATAGGAAGAATATGAGTTAATTCTAAATTACTAAATCACAGCAGAAAACTAGAAAAGATTAAATATATTTTAAAATAAAAATAGAAATGTATACATTATAAAATAATGGAATGGAATCATCAAATAATAAATGATAATTTTTCTCTCAAGAAGGCATTGAAGATCTCAGGAGAATCTATTAGCCAGAATGAAAAAATAAAAAGAGTATATAGGACATTCATAGATGATAGATAGAAAGATGAATAATCAATAAATGATAATTGGATGGCTGGCTGGCTGGCTGGCTGGCTGGCCGGATGGATAGATGGATGGATGGATGGATGGATGGATGGAGAGTGGGTACACAGGGAGATTCCTCCCCACCCTACCAACCTTTTCTCCTTCCCCCCACATAGGTTTACTTACACGGCCCACATGACACTATGCATGAAGGAATTTTGGGTGCAAAAAGAAGCCCCCTAACTTTCAGTGTAAAATCCAGACGTTTACCATTTGATAGAAAAAGTTGCACCACCATGACTTACTTTTATATGGCTGTTGGTGACGACTTTCGTTTCTGTGTTTCCCGTGAGCTGCCCTTGCTCGGTCAGTGAGCAAACAAGTCACAACTCCTACGGCGGCTTCTCAGAGCCCAGCAGGTGTAGGTAGAGCCTGCTCCGTTTCCAGCAGTTGCAATAAATGTCAAACTCCTCGGTGGGGCATTTTCTTCAGCTTTTTTGTTTTGCCTTTATACTTGAGCTCAACTCCCCTCTGCCCTCAAGAAGCTCCTGTCCCTTTGACCTGACGCTGGGTTTTTCTGTGGCAGTGGATGGCAGGTGGACCTCCTGGAGCAAGTGGTCTACTTGCGGAACCGAGTGCACACACTGGCGCCGGCGGGAGTGCACGGCGCCCGCCCCCAAGAACGGAGGCAAGGACTGCGACGGCCTGGTCCTGCAATCCAAGAACTGCACGGACGGGCTGTGCATGCAGAGTGAGTCTGTTCCAGCAAGCCGCTCACAGGGGCGACCTGACATTCAACCAGGAATTCTTTCAGGAATATTCGAAATTAAAAATTACTTGAACAACAAAAAATGCAATAACATACCAGCATCGTAGATTTTTTTCTTAAATTTAAAAAGGGTAAACTCCCAGAAATAACTGTGCCCAGTTAACAAATGACACACACAGGATTGCTTTCCCATGAGCAAAGTGTGATTTAGTCATTTCCATCGAGGGCCTGTCATTCTTTCCAGACCAGGGAATCACTAGTCGGTTTTATTAGAGTGCAGAAAAGGCACCCAGAAACTCCTCATAGAGTCACATGACTTCCAACAAATAAGCTATTTATTCCTAATTCATGGCAGTTACTGAACCAAGGTCCATGGGATATATAATATATATATAAGGAGAGGAAACATTTCTGCAGGTAGATTTACCAATTTACAGGTATTTAGTGGGAACATATTCATAGCTCCTTGAAAATGCTGGGTTTTGTTAGACATTGTGTTTATTTAAAGAAAATGATGTTCATAAAATATAACAGTTTAAAATAAGTGGAGAAGATTGGCTCAGGAATATAATGGGTGCTTTAAGCCAAAAATTCCCCATGTTTCATGGCTTTGTTCTTTAGTTTTCTTAGTGAGATGGTTGTTTGATTTCCATACCTACAAAGTCTACCCTTTTATTAAGGAGCCCTTAGATGTACAAAATTTACTATCTCTTTCATGACGTTGAATTAAGGTACTGAGATTTGTTCTGAATTCACACCTATACAGATGAATAGATCAAACAATGTAATATTTTTGTATCTTAACTAATGGCGGCCAAATGTTGACATTTCTTATGATACATTACAAATTGCTTGTGGAATACAAACAACCAAATATATTTGTATAGAAGCTTGTGTGGACAAAATATTTTATTTTTACCATATTTATAATATTCTGTTCACCTTCCAGAGTCTATATACACAGGGACCTTGAAAAAGAAACTTACTTAAAATACAAATTAGTAATCGTGTTGCTGATGTAGAATAAAAATCCAATAGGCCTTTTTTTTTCTGCCACCACAGGTGACAGTCTTTGAAAATGGGCTGCTGCTGAGTATAAGCACAGCTCTGGTTATGTTTGGGGACTGCGTTGCACTAAGTGTGTACCTGAAATGCAGAATGAAAAGAATACAGCTGTTTTACTAACCATTTATCCAGAGACGGTTTGTTCCTCCAGGCATGAGTTTGAGTGAGGATTAAAGTAAAATATGTACGCAAGTTATTCTTTTAACATTTTTATGATTTACTATTCTTGCTTTAGTGTTTGGCGAATTGATTCATGGGACCATATGATTTAAAAAGTAGCAAAATCTGATCTCTCTCTCTCTCTCCTGCCACCCCACTCCCTCTTCTCTCCTTCTTCCCTCCCTCTCTCGCTGTCTCAAAATTATATTTCAACTATGGGTGATTTAATGCTTACTGCTACTACTGTGCCTATTTAAAATTTCCCAACGCAACCTATTTAACAAGGAATACAAAGCCGCAAGATGGAACACTGGGCTTTTTAATCCTTACACAAAATGACACATTCCAAATTACGACATATTTCAGATGCAAACATGAACTATTCAAATTAAAACTTTCATGAAACAGCATTCCTTTAACATCTAGCCTATTTCTTACAGCATTAATAGATTTGTTTTCTTATGATTGGATTTTTGCCAATAATGATGGCATGAAGTGTGGGTATAAATAAGGAAAAGAAATGAAGCTACAAGAGGGTTTATGTTGTTGTTGTTGTTTTATTAAGTTGCTTGTTAGACTGAAACGTTTGGATGTTTGGATTAAAATTGGTTAAAAATCTATTTTCTTTTAAAATTCTGATTTGCCATAGTTATAGCCCCAATTAAGTCAATAAACTCTTTCATCTGCCCTCTATATCCACTCTAGGGCAACAGAGAATTGTAGTCTGTATTATTGATTTCCTCCCTGATGGAAACCACAGAGATATTGCTGCACTGTGTAATTATAGTATTTTAGAGTCAAAGCTGTAGTTTCTATTTACTAGTAAACTGAGTATTTCTGACATAGCATTATGGCCAAAGTCTTGCAAAGAATTGTTATAACTCCTAGCCTTTATTTTGAAAAGCAAAAGGCTTTCTAACAGTGAAAGTACCAAGCTTGCAAATGGGACAGGTCTGTATTAAGAGAAAGAATGGGAGTAGAAAAGACAGACAGAAAGTTGCAATTGGTAGGAATTATTGTTTCATGTTTATTGACTTTAGGAGAATTAGTGTCTTCAATGTACTAATAAATAGTTCTTCATCAAAACTGCAATATTAGCCCTGGCCAGTTTGGCTCAGAGCTTAGACCGTTGGCCTGCAGTCCAGAGAGACCCAGGTTCAGTTCCCGCTAAGGGCATGTACCTCGGTTGCAGTTTGTCCCCGGTCCTGGTTGGGTCATGCGGGTGGCAGCCACTCGATGTGTCTCTTTCACATCCATGTTTCTCTCTCTCTCTTCCTCTCCCTCCCGCTCTGTCTGAACAAAAAATGGAAAAATGTCCTCGGGTGAGGATAAAAAAAAAATTGCAATATTACCTCAAAACAGAGCTAGACTACTTACCATTGAACGAGGTATGCAATGCAACCTCTGAATTCACTTAAAATTGTCTACAAATGATCCTGCTATAAATGTAGATACGTTGCTAAATAGGACACATTCAGAGTTCAGACTGGGTATCGGTAGAATTCAGTTACCTAGATAACCTCGTCTAGTATATTTTAAAAGACAAATTGATACTTAAAGGCAATACAATGTAAAATATGTTGAAAATATCACTATGGGTGCTTATTCACTAATTTGTGCGAAACAATTGTATTCAGACACATTTTTTCCTTAACTGCCTCCCTCATTACAAAAAGTACAAAATTTTACTCAGATATGTAGAAATATTAGATAAAATACTAAAACTTAAAAGACATACTCACACAGCAATCTATGCAACGACGCTTAATCCACTGAGCCACGCAGGCCAGGCAACCATACAACTTTTTAAACATAGAAATATCGGGAGAAAAAACTGGCGGCAGAGTGAATGGAGCTACACAGACCATCTCCCAGGACCAAACTGGATTTACAACAAAAGTAAAGACAAATCGTCAGGAAGGGGCGACCGAAGGGCAGCTCGGATGACCACATAACCAGGAACATGGACTCAATCCTGGTAGGCTTGCGAGGATGCCAGAGGGGGCTGGGAGCCCACGGTTTGCAGGGCCTGGGCTGGGACCTGCTGCGGCCTTGGCTGGGAGCTGCGGCCTCGGCTGGTGCCCCAGACTCGGCTGCCCTTAGCTGGGAGCGGTGCCCTCAGGTTAAAGTCCCAGGCAGCTCCACTGCGCAGAGCCCGGACAGAGGCTAAATTGGCAGCAGCCACTCACCTTGGGCTCTGGCAGAGGGAAGGCAGACTGGACTGGAATGGTGTGGGGACACTCGGGATTTGGAGGGTGCTCAGAGCTTTTGCTGAGTGCAGCCACGCAGGACTATGGTCATCTCACTCCTTCCTGGGGCCCTGGGGAGAGGCGGTGGCCCCTCCCTCGGAGATTCAACCCCACCTGGTGGCCATTAAAATACTAATTGAGGCCCATTAACAACCAGCATCTGCCCCACCCTCTGGAAATCCTCCTACACTGAGCACCTGAGGGAGTTTTTCAGTCAACTCAGAAATCAAGGTTCTTCAGGTGACCACTACTAATAGCCTCCAGGTAAAAAAACTAGAGGATAACTACCATAGAGCTAGCAACTCTAACTAGGAAAGTAAGACTTGACAGTGGTGTTTAAAGTCGGTGCTCCCTGCCTCATCAAAACCCAGGAGAGGGAGCCACAAACAGCAGAATACAACGCCCACAGGGAAAATTTGGCAGGCTCCAAAGCCCACTGTGATAGCCAAAATGCTGAAACACAGAAAAGAAAACCAAATGAAAGAATGAGACCTCTACAGAAGATGAGATAAATGAGGTGCAGTTAAGCAAGTTAACAGAACTAGAATTCAGAGCCATGATCTTGAGGAAACTCAACAGCATGTGTAAGGACATGAGCACCATGAGTAAAGACATACAAATGTTGAAAATCAACCAGTTGGAAATTAAAAACCACCAAGAAGAAATGAAGAATGACATATCAGAAATAAAAAATACATTGGAAAGTCTAAATAGCAGAGTAGAGAAAGCTGAGGACCGGATCCGTGAATTAGAAGATAAGGTAGAAAAAAATCTAATAATCAGAAAAACAAAAGGAAAAAACAATTAAAAAGCAGGTAGACAGCTTAAGGGAACTGTGGGACAATTGGAAACATAATAACATTTGCATCATAGGAGTCCCCAAAGAAGAAGAAGAAAATGAGCAAGGGTTAGAAAATATATTTGAAGAAACAGTGATAGAAAACTTCCCTCATTTGGTGAAGGAAGAAGGCATTCCAGTTCAAGAAGCACAGAGAGCCCCAAGTAAGAAGAACCCAAACAGGCCCACACCAAGACACATAGTAATTAAAGTGCCAAAAATTCAAGACAAAGAGAGAATCCTAAAAGCAGTAAGAGAGAAGCAACAGGTTACCTACAAAGGAAACCCTATAAGGCTCTCAGCTGCCTTCTCAACAGAAACACTACAGGCCAGAAGGGAATGGCATGAAGTAATCAAGGTCATGAAAAACAAGGATCTGAATCCAAGACTACTCTACCCAGCAAGGCTATCATTCAAAATAGAAAATCAAATGAAGAGCTTCTCAGACAAAAAAAGGGTAAGGGAATACATTAGCACCAAACCAGCACTGCAAGAAATGTTAAAAGGACTGTTGTAACTAGCAGGAGAAATAGAAAGAAAAATAGAACCACACTAAACAAAAATGGCAATAAATAAGTACATATCAATAATCACCTTAAATGTAAATGGATTGAATGCTCCCATAAAAAGACACAGAGTAGCTGATTGGATAAGAAAGCATGACTCATCTA